CTAATGGCAAGGTTGGAGGTTTGATCATATGTAAGTGGCAAGACTTGGTTAACATACAGTTAACATTTCTGAGTAAAATCCTGAAATAATAGATGGAAATAGTAGAAACAGACATTTTACCAGGTACACTCTGCTTTGAGTCTTACACGTGTGAGGCCTTAACGCCGCGGTGGAAACCGGACATTTGGACCCATCTGACGCGCCTTGTTATGTAACGGTGACCATCTGTGCCCGCTGTGTGGCTGTCTGCTACACGCGCGTGTCCGCCGAGCAGTCCGCGCGCGGGACACGTGAGTGTGCATGTAGAGCACAGCAGCATCCTGCCAGCTGCCCAAAGACGGACGCCAGAGCGGGAAGCGCGCAGCTCGGATGATCTGAACTAAGCGGTACGTACTTCCTATGTGACTGCGTGCGTTTAGCTATACCAGCAGGTTGGTGCAGGATGCAGCCTGGATGGGTGTGGATCTGTATTTGACGGGTTGACACAGTCCCTGTAAGTAGCACCCTGCTTTTATTATTATGCATCCCGAATGGTTATGTAGCGCATTATTGCCCAGTGTTACAAAGCCCTCAGGTGCCTGCGTCCCTCCGTACAGCTGAGCAGGATGGGTGTTGTCCTCTTTAAGCTCCCGTGACACTGAGACGTTTCAGCTCTCGATATTAAAGTGCTTCCAAAAGCTTTGTGACTTCTGGACACGCTGTGATAAAAACAGCACAGAGGATTTTCACCTTTTTGATTTCTGTGTGTAGCGCGGACACAGCAGCCCGCTGTACGGGATCCAGCTTCATTTGTAAAGCACTGCAGCAAAAAGCCATTTAAATGTATTGTAAGACAAATAATCGCTGGATTACTGTGTTGTAATTGTTACTGATAATCTTGGAATTAGAAGAAAGCCTCTAATAATTTAATGGGCAGGCTACAATATCGAGTAATCATCATTCAACTCATTTCAGTTGAATTTCTTGAATTTTACTAATTTTTTAAAAGAATATTTTCTCATTTATTTAATTTAAATAGGGAAGCTTTACATAGTAGAAGAGAGGAGATATCAGTGCTGGTAATCAGACCACACAACAGTGAAAACCTGTGGCAGCAAAGAGTTTTCATCATGTGCAATAAAAAACAAAAACTACCATAATAAAAACGCCTATGTGACAGTGAAATAGCAATAAATACATGGATCATATTTATTTTTTTACTAGCAGTGAAATAAGACAACCCATGACCTGTGATGCTGACAGCTCACCTGTCTGTGGGCCAGAACAGCACACAGTGTCATGTGCTGTGCATGTCTCCGTGTTGTGTGTTTATCTGACTCTGTAGAAAAACTACTGAAAGCAACAGCAAACTTTTGTGCGTGCTTGTTCTTGTTCCCCTCTCTGCCCATGGCTCCAGGGCTCGTCCTGTGGCTCTTTTCTGTCACCAGTTTTATCTCTGCACATACTTTTCCTTTACAAGGCTGTTGCTTTGTGCTGAAATTAGAAATTGATCAAAATGAACTTCGGCTCCTGCTCCTTAGTTCTCCAGATCAGACCAGCTGCAGGTCATAAAGGAGAGCCTGGTCAGTTTGCAGTGACTGAGCTTTAAAAATCAGAGTGGCAGTTGTACTCTATTCAAATAATCAATTTGTGGTCTCGGACTGATGAAAAAAAAATCAGTGACAGATTATATTTGACTGGTATTCATATCCAAGGGATATAATAGACTAAAGTAAAAATGGGACAACAGGACAAAGAAGGACGTGGAGGAAGAGACCATGTGATATCGGTCTGTACTGTCCATCTCCACCACAGAGCTGTGACACCGTGCTCTCTGTCTCCCTGTGCTCTCACACTCAGGTCAGTGATGACAGTACTTGGGTTTTGTCTAACCTAAATCCTAACCACATCACCATGGCAACAGGAAGAAAAGGTGAGTGTGATGCTGCTTGTGTGTTTATGAATGCTACTTGTGACTGGCCTTTATTTGAAACCACCAGGGGGCGCTGTATCCCGTTTCGTGATAAAGTGGCAAGTAGTACAGGTACAGGTGATTTGAATGAGCAGAGGGCCTGGCAAATGCAGAAAGCACATGATATTTTCTCACTGTGCTTTTAACGGCTCTGTTTGTGTTTGTTGTTTTTTTCCTGTATGTTTCTAAAAATATGTGTCTGCACTGAAAATGAGCACCAAAAACAATCCAGCTCATCAAAATGTTCTGACTGCGTTATGCCATGTAGTTTACATTCTCTCTGCTGTAACCCATCCAACACTGAAGTTTTAGCATCAGTGAATCACAATGACGGGGTCCTTTGGTCCGTCTGTCACTTGTGTTGTTTTGGTCACAGATTCTCATCAGCCTCGCACCTTCTGCTCGTCTTTGCAATCTAAGAGCAGGAGAATCTAAATCACCTACCTTCTGATTTGTCGATGGTCTGCTGAGCCACAGCTGCTACCAGCTGTTCTCTGAGTGCTTAAGCAGAGTAGAAAAGTACCACATGACAATCGGTGTGTGTCCTACAACCAGTTTGGAAGCATTTTTCATATTGATTCACAAACTGTAGAGAAAGCTGTAATGTCTAACTGAGACACACATGGGAATATCACATTGTGTCTGTGCTGCATCGTTCTGCATCTGATGAGTTGCAGTTGGTGCTGTGCTGTAGGAAGCACTGGTCCAGCACATAGTCCATCCAGATGTTTCTTTGAAGCAGCTGTTGCTGTGAGTCGCCACTGTATAAAATGGAACTGAATTGTTTTACTACAATTTTTTAGGTTGTTTTGGCTCAACTGGCCCACAGCACAAAAGTCAGTAACACACCTCCTCACCCACATCAAACAATCTTATTGTCTTCACACACACCTTTGCTGTCTCTACACGTGCTTCACTACTAAAGATTTTCATTTGCTACTGTGTTGATGCACTTCTTACTTAAGCATTTTGTACTTTTGTCAGCCACAGCTCCAGATCGCTCACTTTCCTGAATACAGTCCAGCATTGCATTTATGCTTTCAATCAAATTCCTGCTCATCCAAATTTCCCTTTCATGCACATCCCAAGGATGCTGTGCTGGACTGAAATCTGGTGACTGTCGAGGCTGTTGGAGTCCGTCTCCTCTTGTCTAACCTTGGTGATAGCAGACATGATTATGCAGGATAAACCCAGCCCATCGACAATGTCTGAAATACTCACAGCAGCCCGCCTGACATCATGAACCATGCCACGTTCATCTTTCTTACTTTGATGCTCAGTTTGAGCTCCAGCAGGCCGTCCTGTCTAAATGCTTTAAATTCCTGCTGATGTCAAAGGCTGATTAGATGTTTGGATTGCTGTGATGAGCAGTGGAACAGGTGTACCTAATAATGTGACAGTACAGTAGTTGGTGTTATGCTCTCAGATTGTATCGGTTTGCTGTTCTCCATCTCAGCAAACACGTTGACAGCAGTTGTGTTCATTTCTACGGTTGCCGTGGTTTGATGTTACCTGTCTGTCCCCAGGCTCTACGTCCAAAGCAGGTGGGGTGCGTTTCCCTGACGATGACGAGCCCCCTGGCTCTCCAACACGGAGAGATGACCAGTCGAACGTCGCTACGCTCATTGCTGTCTCAGAGAAGGATGGCAGCTACTTGGTGAAGGTGTGTCTGCACACCGTCAAACGAACACAGTTGTTCGTCATGATTTCATCATTGTAAGCGATTTTTCAGGTGAAGTGTTGATAAAATGACCACAAGGTGTTTTCATGAATGAGCAGAGAAAGTCTGCTGGTTTACGATTTGATTGATTTCCATGTTCATGGATGTTTCATCCGGATACATTTGTAAAATGTAAAGTCCGGCTGAGGAATGGTGGAACAACAAAACAACATTAAACTGAGCCATGAAAATGTGACACCACGGGCTGTGTTAGCCCACATCCTCCTGAGCTATTTGATCCAATGTTTTCTACTCTTTGCCTCTAACACGTCGCTCCTCTGTCAAGGCTGGTTTCCTGAAGAGCCACCACTGTTATGAGATTGTCTTCACTGTCCCAGATGTCCCCACACTGGGCAAAGAGCTCTCATGTCTTCCCTCCTCTTCTCCATCTCGGAGGTCGCCCAGCCTGCGGGTCCAGCGTATTAACTCCACACTGGAGGGTAAGTATAGGTGTACAGGCATACTTCAGGACATGCTTGCACATATGTCTAACCTGCAGTGTTGTGGAGCAGACTGTTGCTGCACAGAGCAGGTGACCATGGTGGGTTAGGTTCTCTGCCCAGCAGTAAGTCTGTAGGTTCTCAGTAATCCAGGTCATGCTAGTCTAAGGAGCTCCTTAGACTCTGTCCACCAGCGTCCTCACTTGTGCTAAAGCATATAGTTAGGGCTGGACCAGGTGACCCTGAATCCTCCCTTAGTTATGCTGCAATAGACGTAGGCTGCCGGGGATTCCCATGATGCATTGAGTTTTTCCTTTCCAGTCACCTTTCTCACTCACTATGTGTTAACAGACCTCTCTGCATTGAATCATATCTGTTATTAACCTCTGTCTCTCTTCCACAGCATGTCTTTATCCTGTCTTCCTTCTCTCAGCCCAACCGGTCACAGCAGATGGCCCCGCCCCTCCCTGAGCCTGGTTCTGCCGGAGGTTTCTTCCTGTTAAAAGGGAGTTTTTCCTTCCCACTGTCGCCAAAGTGCTTGCTCATAGGGGGTCATATGATTGTTGGGTTTTTCTCTGTATCTATGAGGCGCCTTGAGGCGACTTATGTTGTGATTTGGCGCTATATAAATAAAATAGAATTGAATTGAATTGAAGATTACTTTTTGGGACTAATGTTTCTGTGGAATCTTTTCACACGAGCACAACACAAGTCTGTAACCAAGAAATGTATTTTGAAATTCCAATTTATATATCACCAAATCACGACAGTCGCCTCAAGGTGCTTTATATTATAAGGTAAAGACCCCACAATAATCATATGACCCCCTATGAGCAAGCATTTTTGTGACAGTGGGAAGGAAAAACTCCCTTTTAACAGGAAGAAACCTCCGGCAGAACCAGGCTCAGGGAGGGGCGGGGCCATCTGCTGCGACTGATTGGGGTTAGGGGAGAAAGACATCCTAAGGAAAATGTATATGCATGGTCACATTTCCCAACACCAGGAAGTGAAAACCTAAAAACGAAACCAAAATATGGCGTTAGTGTCTACTGTCTGTGGCAGCGTCTGCGTCTCTGTGCTGAGAATATTGGTAACACCTTGCTATTTTTGAAAGTACGAACCTAAATTAAAACCCTGAGTAACTGAATGATTGTATTACATTACACTGATTAGCCCGTGTGAATAAACTGAGCATAAGCCATCTTGGGTTAAAAGCGATCCTGGAAGCCTACGTAGAACAAAACTCGAGTCTGCCTCGTGTCAGCAGGCCCAGTATTTGAGCTCTCGTCTGTAATAGTATGCCAAAGCTCAGCTCTCCATACAGCTGTGACACTGTCTCTGCCTGACCCAAGCATCTCAGTACCGCAATAACAGATCTCTGCTCTCGAGCAGGTTTGAGATCAAGAGTCAGCTGACTGCTGTTGCCAGTGTCTCAGCAGAAACAGCTGGATTCATCTCTCTAGCAGCTCAACACCTCCCAGGCTTGGTTTAGCACTAAGGAGCTAAACCAAACAAACCAGTCAGCTCTCCTTCATTGCAGCTGCATGGATCTAGTCTTCAAAGGAACAGCCACAAAAAAATAAATCAACCACATTCCTGAATTTCCCCGTCCAGGAACAGCTTCAATGTCCTGGATAAGCAAGAACTGGGTTGTAATTAGAGGGGAAGATACCAACACATGAGTTCACTGGAGTGTGGACGTTCAACCCACTGTCACAGCAAAGTGTGTAATAGACATGCCGGTCCACAGTGTCCAAAATGGCTACCCTGGATGAATAAAGACATTTTCAATCATAAAAGACAAGAGGGAGGGTAAGGAGAAGAGTGTTCAGCTACAATAACAAGAAATGAAAGCACTGATGGCTTTCAGTGAACAGACTGAGTCTCTGAGGACGAGCTTTAAAGATCTGTGGTGCAACGAAAACGTTCTTCAAGCTTTGGATGTCACTGTTTGTTTCTGCACTTACCAACTGTCTGTCCTCTGGCTGTGTCCCAGAATACTTCAGCTTTTGTGCAACCACACCTAAAAAAAACCAGACGGCCGTCGAGCCGAATACCAATCTCAAAGTTTCCTTTTATAGCAAAACGTTTGAAGAAGACTGTCTACAACTTATTTAAGCATTACATTAGAACATCGTCACTCAGGGTTAAGATGGCATCAGAGTTACTGAGTCTGTGCTTGTTAGAGTTAGGAGTGCTGAATGTTTTGTTCTTTGCTGCTTGAGGTAAATGCAGTCTTTGATACATTAGACATAGATATGCCGCAGCACAGGGTTGGTACACCTGGGGCTAAAGTATTCCTTTAACTGCATTGATGATGTTTCTAAAGTTCATTGGACTCAGCGTGGTGCAGACTGCGTATGAATAACTTGTCTCCTTCCTCACTCCCTCGTTCTCTTTAGGAGGTGTAAAGGTAACATGTGAATACAGAACTCACCAGGAGGGGGTGCAACAGGAGGAGATCACCATGGTAACCAGAGGGAGAAAAGACAGCAGTCTAAAGGTCAGACTCCAGGCCAGGGTCATTGGTAGGTGCTTGTGCACCGACAGATACACACACATACGCGCGCACAGACAGAGTAAACAGGTCCTAATCATACAGGACTGCATCTTTATTACCTTGTTGACTGTACACAGATCAAACACAGTTCAACAGGACACAGTGCAGCACAGTGAAACATTATAGTATGAGTATTATGCTTCAGTACATCTGGAACTGAGATTCTTGTTAAGGTGGAAGGAGTCCTGAAGAAAGGATATGTGGAGATTTTAACCCTTTAAAACCGGTCAGAGCAGCACGCTCCGTTTTGCGTAACTATTTTTAAATCCCGGTAGCACTGCAACCACGTGAGCTAGCGCAAAAATTTTTTTTGCATATGAAACCGGAGGAGTTGTACTTACATCTTATGCCATCAGCTTGTCCTCGGTCACAGTTTCCTTCCACATAAAGCTTTGCAAAAACTGCATAAAAAGCACTTGCAGCAACAAAAACATAATATTCCAGAAACACGCTTTGCCGATCCGATCAGCTGTTCATAACACTTCCTCCGTCCATCAGCACGAACTATCGCATGTCCGCCATGTTCTGCCCGAAATTGGAAGTGACGTCATTTTCGCGGAAATGTAGTTTTTTACCACCAGTGACCGCTGCGAATGGGCAGCTGAGAATCAGGGAAAGACCAGATGACAGCCTGGAAAGACTGCTGACAGGAGGGAATAGACCCTAATGGGGCTGGTGTGGGTTAGTGCCTCATACCAGCAGGACCCAGCGTTTTTTAGCGTACCTGGGTACACCCATTATTGCTACAGAAGTCTCAAAAGAGAAGGGTCTGCGAGAGCAGGGGTGAAAGAAGACCCTTTCCGGACGGATTTAATGGCAACGAACCATGGAACGGTACCACCGATGAATAGATCAACCAGCATTGCAAATAATGGACCATCAATGATGGTAGGAAAGAAGCTGCAGGACTGCATTTGTGGCTGGCCAAAACTAACAACTGACATGGGCCTTGAAATATTAGATTGTAGCTCTAGCTTAATATCAGCCGCTAGCTTGGAGTTTAGCCACCAACAGCTAGCAACACATTTCCAAGCCAGCCACAATCAACACCATCAACCAGCCCAGAGCTCATTCAGAAACAGCTAACAGAGTCTTCCAACACTGAGTCTAGCCAACCACTACCAGCAAGGGAAAGGAAGATGGAAGGTAGGAAAGATCAGATTCTGTGGCCCAGATCCAGTGAGAAAAGAGAGTGGGTCTGGCTCTTATACTAGATCAACAAAAGGGTCCAGTTGAAAGGAAGCTGGAGAACCTGGGAACCATCATCTACAGCTATGGGGCTGAGCGATGTGGGGTAAAGAACAAGACTCAGAGCAGAAAGGCCATTTCAACCAGTTAAATTCCAGGAGACAGCAGGAAATTGATAGAGGCATGAACCAGTTATCATTCCGACTGATATGCCACCTATCCAGGCACCTGAACACCAAATGGACATAAGACCACCAACATGGAGTGAAGTGGAGAAGGTAGTGAAGCAGGCAAGAGCAGCATCGGCCCCAGGACCTAATGGCATCTCATATAGGCTCTACAAAAACACCCCACGAGTCCTCAAATACCTGTGGACGCTGATAAAGGTAGCGTGGCAGAAAGGAGTGATTCCAAAGGCTTGGAGAAGAGAAAGAGGTATTCTGATCCCTAAGGAGAAGAACTCCTCATCCATCAGACAGTTTCGCCAGATCAGCCTGCTGAACGTAGAGGGAAAAATCTCCTTCAGTGTCTTGGCCCAAAGACTATCTGCTTTCCTGCAAAGAAACAACTATATTGACACATCAGTGCAGAAGGCGGAGCTTCTCTGGATGTCTGGAGCATGCCAGCGTCGTCTGGCACCAGATTCAAACTGCTGAGAAAGAACAAAGAGACCATCACGTGGTCTTTTTAGACCTTGCCAACGCCTTTTGGTCAGTTCTGCATTAGATCTTGTGGATGGCCTTCAACTATTTCAGCGTACCAAACCACATCACAGGACTGGTCAAGACCCACTTTAAGGATTTACAGTTTTGTGTGACAGCTGAGAACACCACCACAGCCTGGCAACACCTGGGAATTGGAGTTATGGCAGGCTGCACGATTTCCCCTCTGGCATTTATCACGGCAATGGAGTTGGTCATGAGGTCCAGTGGGTAGTGGGAGGTGAGAGACTCAAGAGTGGCCTTCGTCTTCCTCCCATTAGAGCCTACATGGATGGTCATCTAAATTACACCAGGGCCTGTGCTGCCGGCTTAGGCCATCCGCACCACACCAGTAACCCAAGAAACCCAAAGCAGGCTCGAGCACCAACAGAGAGGTCATTATTGGCTGCTTCTGTTTTTTTTTTAAGTTTATTATTGGTTGTTAATTTAAAAAGTGAGGTTAGAGGAACAGAAGACGCAGCCACACTATGACGAAAGAAGGAAAAACAGAAAGTAAGGCTGTAAACACGACTTCCTCCCGTCACCTAGCATTGGCTGATGGTTCGATTCCCCATCAAGTGTGGTGGCGTGGACCAAGAGAGAACACAGGATCACGAGGAGGTGGGGCTACCCGCATCAATGCTCCCAGTCGCCTGCTGCTACATCACCATCTCCCAGGAAACACAGGTGATCTGACTGTTCGTCACCACACCCAAGACCCCCGCCTTGTGCTGTGCCTCCTCAGTCAGTGGGGTCATCCCAGTGGGGCTGCTTATCAAAGAAGAAGCTGGACTACCAGGTGCTGCAGTCCTGGATGTGAGGGATGACTTCACCACATGAGCTGCTGCTGCACGTAGAGCTGATGCACCTTTGATAGTAGTTGGTGGCCGCCACGAGAGACCCTCCTGCTGGCAGCCCAACAATGGCAGCCATTGTTGGGCTGCTGGTCACTGCACACTGTGCTGATGGAACCCTTGTGTGGACCCAGACGTGCTTAATGTTCGGGAGTACTCACTTTGATCAGTTGGCGAGGCTGGGGGAGCGAACGTTAGGCAACGGGGCCCATTTGAAAAGAAGTTTTGGGTAAATGTGTGTCACAAAACAGCTGTGTGCAAGCAGGAGAAGGACCCAAACGCAAACTCACCAGAGCGGGAACTTAACTAAAAAATGCAGCTTTAATTGCTGAACAGAAATAAAGGTGATACAAAACCTTGCAAACTAAACTGGGAAAAACTAATACACGAGGAGACTCGGGGAGAATCACACACAGCTATGAGGGAGGACGTGACACTAACAAAGAGAAACACAAGGCTTAAATACACTGAAGGATAACGAGGGTAATGAGACACAGAAGGAGAGCACAGCTGGGAGTAATTAGGCTGAACTAGACAAGGGAAGCAAAACTAGAAACACTGACATGAGACACAGACCTTCAACGTG